AAAGAAGTCCGATGGGAAAAAACAGCTGCTATTTGAGGGAAAAATTCTAAAAGGGTGTTTCTAAAGAAGTCCGATGGGAAAAAACAGCTGCTATTTGAGGGAAAAATTCTAAAAAGGTGTTTCCAAAGAAGTCCGATGGGAAAAAACAAGAAAACACACCAAAAAAACACATCCTCTGGTCAATGCCCGGCGGCTCCAAATGGACCGTTCGGAAGATCCGTGCACGCACTGACCTGGCGAAGGTCGAGGGGGTCGCAGGCCGGGCACGCCGGTCGAGTGGTCTTCACGTCCTATATAGGTGTAGAGGTCGGGTTTGGACGCCGGAGGACGCCGGGCTCACAGTGAGAACGAGCTGTTTTCAAGAGGCTGGCACTAGAAATTCCCAATCTCCAAGTGGAAGGACACCTACAAGAATCGGTGGCAATCTCGTGCTCACTGAAGGCAATGGGGGTGGCATCTTGCAAACAACTCCTTCCAGTCAGAACACTCCATATAGTGCCTTGGGATTTCCAAAAGGAAGCAGCATGTGTATGCATGTGTTGCCCTTTGCATCCTATACGCCGTGCGCGACCTTATAATCACATGTCATCTAGGTTGCGAGGTCATGTGACTAGATGAAGCTATGTACGTCCCCATCCTTGCAGCCTTATCCTGCAGATTGTCAACTTCTTCCTCGGGTCCGAAAGTGCTTCTCTCCACTGCCAGCCTGGTAAAGTCTGCCAACTGCCGAGGATTCAGCTTCCACCCTTGCCTCAGCCAACCGATCAAGAATCAAAAAATTCTCTCGCTCTGGGCCCAGCTCGACTTGGCTCTGTCTGCTGCAGGTAATTGATGAGATTTGATCAAACATGATAGGTGCAGTAATGTATGTACAGTAGAAACCCTGTCTGCATCCAGCCGCAGTCACTTGTGTACCCATGACACCGGGCTCGAACACTTTACACAAAGTAACCTGACCTCCCCCCACCAAACAAATCACAAATAACTATATTGTTCTAAGATTGCCCTCTCCTGACCTGATCTTCTGACGCGCCTTTGTTCGTTTAAGCAGGACTTCATCTTTACCTCCAGTGGCCCTGTTCGCCATCACACCGATCCATACTGATCCACCCAACAAACAGCTTCGCGCACCACACTCGTCGCTGGAGCCACACCGATCCGCCCAAGACACGCTTGGTCCATGGCGATGTTCAGCAGCGAGTCGGCCAACTCGTTGCTCAGTTTCGAGGACACGTCATCGGCCTCTTCCCTGCGCAACGCCGGGCACACAGCGGAAGCATGGTCGACGCATGGAGTCAGCACATTTGTTGGACACGTCGAGTGGTGCATATACATCGTATAAATACCCAAACGTTGAGCATTGAGGGGAAAACATGGGAACACATACACAGAACTGATACCCCCCTTCAAAGGTCTTACAATCGCTTAAAGTTCACTCATCCTTATAGAGGTGGAAACAATCACCTGACACAGGTGGCTGGTAGAACCCCAGCCAAAGTCGATATATCTATATATATATACACATGGTACATGCGTCCAAAAACAAGGTGTCACGTCCGTACGGGCCCCCCGTCTTCGTGTGGGCAGGCCCATACGAAATGGCGTTTTGAGCGCTTCAAAAGTCGAAAAAAAGTTGTATAGTGGCCTTTTTTCAGCCGTGGTCGGCACGCTCTCAGGTGTTTCGCGTGTGGTTGCGATACACCCACTGATACACTCTATTCCACAGCCGTGGGTTCACCAATCCTTTGGACCGGTTCTTGCTTTGTGGCGAGATGAATTTCTTCATCCACGACCACAGCCAATCTAGCTGCTGGGTGCCAAAGATCATCTGAGTCTGCTTTGAGTTGACCATTGGCCCTCTTAGTCCATTGACTCTTCACATGCTTGACGTGTTTCACAGCCAAGCGCTTCGAAGGGTACTTGGCAGCAGCGGCCGACCATGCAAGTGCTCCATCTGCACACAACAATCAAAGAACCTGCTCAAACATTCCGAAGCAAGCCTGAGGTCACTATCTCAGCACATAAAAATGTCTTTTACTTTTACTCCGAGAATCGGGTCCTCCCGCGAACCAGCGGCCCGAGATGGTGTCTGCGGCGCGCTCTTGTCTGACATCCGGCTGCCAAACTCAAAAAAAACAACGCCCGACGAACACGTGACTCGACGAAACCACGAACCGACGAAAACCCAAACACGAACCGACGTCATTTGCCCCCCCCCCACCCCCCCCCCTGAAAAGTAGAGCCTACCTGTACAGGGTTCCACTCCAACAGCTGATATAAATATAGTGTGTCCATGCTTGACTGCTTCAAGGCTCAAAGAGCAAGAGGATAAGACTCTGCGCATAAAAGACACTAGCGGTCTGCACCTCTACCGTGTACGCCCTAGTCACTCTTTCAGTGGTAGCGGAGCAGTGATCCTGGAAGACCCAGGTGAGCTCCTTTCCTAGGCATAGAATTGCTTGTGGGCAAACGGCCATGGATTGGATTGACGACTGGGAAGAGCCTGATGCGGATGTGGCTTATGAGCCAGCAGCCTACGTGAATAGGCATGTGAGAAGAGAACCAGCAGCAATAGCAATGACAACACAGGTCACTACAAAGGTGCCCCCATCTTATGATGGAAAGACTTCATGGTTTTCCTATGAGGATGCCATAGACGATTGGTGTGATATCACCGAGCTGGAAGATGAGAAAAGAGGACCAGCATTGAGAAACAGATTAGAAGGAGAAGCAGCTGTATACAAGCGTGTTTTAGACAGAGATGCATTGAAGGCAAATGATCCACCAGGAGCCGGCGTAGAATATTTCAAACGAGTACTACGACCATATTTCGTGAAAGGATCAACCAATGTATTCCTGTATAGGTTCATGCAATTCGTGCGCTTCAATCGAGGATCAGCTGACATGATGAAATGGATGACAAGATTCCAGATTTTACTCCAAAGGCTTATGAGCAGTTGGATGGACATGTTAGAACCAGTCACTCAAGCACATCCACAAGTCCTAGCACAGATGCAGGCAGATGCAGCGTTGACTGGAGTAGCACCAACGGCAGAAAGGATTCAGGAAATCATGCAGACCATCAATGGCAATATGAGGACTTTTCATCAGAACGAATTTCCTCTAGGAGAAAATCTCATTGCCTTACTCATGCTGTCACTTGCAGATTTGTCTCAGGACCAGCGAAACACTTTGACTTCTTTGATGACTCATCGTGGCAGGGTCCTGCAGCAATACACCACAACAGAGTTGAGAACAGTGTTCATCGAGATGTTCTGCACGACAAAGACTTCAGTAGACAATCCTTTGATGCAGCCGACAGGTGCTGGAGGTAGAAGATCATTTCTTGTACTAGACGAAGGAGAACTCGATGGTACATTTGGCTATTGGGCCGAAGATGAAGAAGATGGAACAGAAGGATTTTTAGATGCCCTGGACGATGTCTTTTGGGTATATGATGATCAAAACTTCTCGTGGTTCCAAAGGAGATTCCAAGGAAGAAGAGCCAGAAAAGGCAAAGGAAAAGGAAGAAGAAAAGGAAAAGGTAAAGGAAGATCAGGCCGCAGATTTTTCAGACCTCGTGGAAAAGGAAAAGGAAAGAGACGAGGTAAAGGCCATTTTGCTGATGAGCAACAGACAACTTTTCCAGATGAATACTTTGAAGAGAATCCTTATGAGGACACTTGGGAGTCAAACCAAGTAGCATATGATGCCATTCTTGCCGAAGATATGAATGACTATCTTCAAGGAGAATACGATGAAGCCAATGACTTTTGGCAACAGCTTGAAGAAGCATGGTTTTCCCACAAAGGAAAAGGAAAAGGCAAGAGAAAAGGAAAGAAAGGAAAAGGAAAAGATAAAGGAGATGGCAAACTAGATGCAAACTATGCAAATCCACAACAGCCACGTTCTTTACCTGCACCTTCAAGATCTTCACAAGCATCAGGAGGTCAACAAGGTTTCTTTGCACATTGTGTGACAGCAGCAGCTGAAGTCCATGACAGTGAGGTGGACTTGCTGTCAGGCATGATGACCTCATGTCAAGATGAAGCTGACTGTGCGGTCAACAATGGTGAGACGATCTTCAATGGCATGAGTGCCCCTGTGAGGTACTCTTTGTCAAAGGAGATGCTCACAAGGGCTCCTGATGGCTTTGCGCTTATGAGCGCTGAGGAAGAAGTGAAGGAGATGCAGGCCATTTCATTTTTGACTGAGAATCGCTTCCCGCCGACTATTGCAATCCTGGACATTGGATGCACTAGAGCTATGGGATCAAGGCGAGCAGTCGACCATTTTTGCAACTATGTCGACAATCACCCAGATTGTGGATTATGGTACTCCTTTGAGGCTACCAAGAGCAAGTTTTACTTTGCCAATTCCCAGAAGGCTACTTGCTCTCAGAAACTGGTGATTTACATGTATGATCGCGCATGGACGATCCACCACACAGAGTTCGACATAGTGGAAGAAGGAGAAGTCCCTTTGCTTATGAGCTTGCCACAGATGAGGAACTTAGGCTTTGAACTCAGGCTGACACCTCAACATGCTTATCTGACATCGGCGCCTCTTGGTATCAAATATTTGGAGTTGAAGGTTGCAGCCAGTACTCATCTTGTTTTGGACTTCCAAGATATTGCATGGTATCTGTCTGACGTGAATTTGCAGACTCGGCGCGAGAAGAGTTTTTACTCTCACTTCACTCACTATGAATATGGTCATATTTCTGTTGACCTTAATAGTGATGAAGATGTAGCTGAACATGCATATCCTGTGGTTGACTACTGGGAAGTAGATGTTCACAAGAGAGAACTGATACGTCACCACAAGGATTATAGAAAGATTCTTTTCCCAGCAACTAAGTCCTGTCCTGTAGACACTGACTTACTGGAAGACTTGCGACTGACAATCATCAAGAAGAAGAAAGGTGGAGAAGAGATCAAGAAGCAAGATGATTGGCGCAAGGCAAAATGGAAGGACCTACAAATTGGCTATGAATGGCGTGGTAGAACAATTTTTAAGTTCAAGCCAGATGCCAAAATTCCAGATCTAAAGATCAGGAAGGCTGGCATTGAGCACCGTGGCATTGGTGATCCCGATGCAGTGGTGCGCTCCTCCTCAGAGAAGGTTCCCATTGCAAAGGACAGGGAACCAGGCTTCTCATCAGAGAAGGAAGGTGCACCATCCAGTGCCGCGGAAAAGCCCGCGCCGCCAAAGTTTCGGTATACTTCCAAGGGTTTTGATCCATTTTGGAAAGGACACAAGTCGAAACCATCTGAGCCTCAGAATGATTTAAAGGGTGATGATCTTGAGGAGTATGCTCCCTCAGAACCACCTGAGAGGCCAGAAGGTGAACTTGTAGAAATTCCTAAAGCATCAAAAGGACCATCAAGTGATAAACATGAACCACTTGAACCAGGTGATGGCGCTCTTGAGCCTAGGCGGATTTCAATCCCATTACCTGGTAGTGAAGTTGTTGCAATGACACCGGCATATAGGAAGATGTTACAGAGACTGGAGGACAAGGTAGAGCTTTATAAGCTTCATGTGAAGCACTACCATATGAGTCCTACTCAGTTTCGTAGACGTGTTTCTATGTTGAAGCTTCCTGACTCTGTTTTAGAGAAGTATGAATCAGTTGTCAGGAACTGCCGTGTTTGTAACACTTCAGTGGCACCTCCGCCACGAGCCAGAGTCTCCGGTATTAGAGCTTCATGTTTTGGTGATGTTGTTTTTGCTGATCATTGTGAGGTTGAACTTCACAAGAACAAGTATATCATCTTACTTGTTCTTGATGGTGCCACAAATCTTCTCTGGGCTACGGCACAGAAAGACCTCATAGATCAAACCACCATCCAAGCATTGAGGCAATGGTCTGATGAGAACAACTGTGTTCCAAAGGCCATCGTAGGAGACGAAGCCTTTTTCACCGATGCTTTTGTTGAATACTACAGGTTCCATGGTATACAACAATGTCCTTGTGGGCCAAGAACTCCTTGGCCGAACCGAGCAGAGACAGCTGTACGTTTGTTCAAACGTATGTGGCATGTTATGAAGGTAGATCTGGATGACCCACGTTTTCGTGGTGTTACGGTCAGAGAAGTGGTCAAGAAGGTAGTTTGGGCAAGAAATTGTCAGTTGACTATCAGTGGATATTCACCAATAGAGATAGCAACTGGAAGACGTCCACCAGATCTTTTTGACCTTGAGACCGCAAGCCCTGAGCAATTGTCAGCTAATGCCGCCGCACAA